GCTGCCTTCTTGGGCCTCCTGGAAGGCCTTCGTCGCAAGGGTGGATGCTTCTCGAAATTTGTCGTGTCCCGGGAGGAGCGGGGTCGGTAGATGTTGGTTTCTCCCACACGGGTGACCCCAGGGTAATGTTTTTGACGCAGTAATGAATGGATTTGCCATGGCGCATGTGCCAGAGGTGCTCTCAGACGCCACAGCGCCTCCTACCACGTGCCTGGCATCGAGTTATGGATGCGTGGTGGATGAGGGTGGAGGACGCAGGATGAGCAAGGGGAGAATGGCTGACGGAAGAGAAGTGGGAGGAGGATGATGAGGAGAAGGAAGACGGGGATGAGGTTGATGGGTGCGAAGGGTGCTGCTGCTGATGATGAGGAGGATGAGGATGAGGATGAGGATGATGATGATGCTGATGCTCATGGTGATGATGACGATGATGATGCTGATGCTGATGCTGATGACGATGATGATGATGATGATGATGATGATATTGACGATGATGATGCTAATGGTGATGATGATGACGACGATGACGACGATGACGATTGTGCTGGAGGTGATACTGATAATGATAATGATGATGATGATGACGATGACGACGATGACGGAGACGATGATGATGCAGATGATGGTGTTGATGATGCCGATGACGACGACGATGCCATCGACGACGACAATGATGATGCTAATGATGATGATGCTGATGCTAATGATGATGCTGATGATGATGGTGATAATGGTGATGATGATGATGATGATGATGACGATGATGATGCCGACGTCGACGACGATGCCAACGACGACGACGATGATGATGATGCTAATGATGATGATGATGATGATGATGATGATGATGGTGATGATGATGCTGATGATCATGCTGATGATGATGATGATGATGATGATGCTGCTGCTGCTGATGATGATGATGATGATGATGCCGATGACGACGACGATGACGACGACGACTATGATGATCATGATGATGCCGATGATGACGACGATGACGACGATGTGATGATGGATGATGACGAGGAGGATGAGGATAAGCATGAGGATGAGGATGCTGATCATGCTGATGATGCTGCTGATGATGATGATGATGATGATGAGGATGTACCTGATCATGGTGATGATGTTGCTGCTAATGCTGAGGCTGCTGCTGATCATGATGATGACGACGATGATGATGATGCTGATGTTTATGATGATGACACGTATTATGATGCTGATGATGATGACGGCGATGATGATGATGATGATGATGATGACGATGTTGATGATGATGATGATGATGATGATGATGATGATGATGATGATGATGATGATGATACCGACGACGACGATGCTGACGACAACGATGATGATGCTGTTGATGATGATACTGATGGTAATGATAATGATGATACTGATGATAGTGATGATGCCGATGACGACGACGATGACGATGACGATGACGATGATGACGACGACGATGATGCTGCTGACGATGCTGATGACGACGATGATGACGACAGTGATGATGATGATGATGATGATGATGATGATGATGATGATGATGATGCTGATGATGATGGGTGATGGTGATGATGGTGATCATGGCGCTGATGATGCTGATACTGATGCTGCTACTGATGATGACGATGATGATGCTGATGATGCTGATGATTATGTTGCTGCTGCTGATGATGATGATGATGATGATGCTGGTACTGCTGATGCTGCGGCTGCTCATGGTAATGGTGATGATGATGCTGATGCTGATGCTGATGCTGATGCTGATGATGATGGCGGTGATGCTTCTGCTGCTGCTGATGATGGTGCTGCTGTTGCTACTGATGATGACGATGATGATGATTCGCATGTTGCTGCTCATGTTGCTGATGATGATGCGGACGCTGATGATACTGCTGACCATGATGATGCTGATGATGATGTTGATGATGATCATGAGCATGATGCTCATGGTGATGGTGATTGTGGTGATGCTGATGATGCTGCTGATGGTGGGTATGAAGATGATGCTGCGATGTCGGTGATGATGATGTTGTTGATTCTGAGGATGATGATGATGATGATGATGATGATGCTGATGATTTTGGTGCTGATGATGCTGACGATGATGATGCTGGTGAGGATGATGCTGCTGTTGCTAATGATGATTCTGACGATAACGATGCTGGTGATGCTGGTAATGATGATATTGATGCTGATGATGCTGATGATGTTGATGACGAGGATGCTATGGGTGATGTTAATGCTGATGCTGCTGATGATGCTGATGGCGATGATGATGCTGAGGATGATGATAATGAGGCTGATGATGATGCTGCTGCTGATGCTGCTGATGCTGGTGATGCTGATGATGACGACGAGCATGATGATGATGATGATGAGGATGATCATGATGATGATGATGATGATGATGATGATGATGATGATGATGCTGCAGACGATGATGGTGACGACGGCAACGACTATGCTGATGCTGATGATGCTGCTGCAGGTGATGATGAGGATGATGGTGATGAGGATGATGATGATGATGATGATGATGATGATGAGGATCATGGTGATGAGGGTGGTACTGACGATGATGATGACGACGATGCTAATGCTGAAGATGACGATGATGCTGATGATGAAGATGACACAGATGCTGATCACGATTATGCTACGATGATGAGGATGATAATGATGCTGAGCACGATGCGGATGATGCTGTTGACAACGATTATGATGATATTGATGCTGATGCTGATTGTGGTAGTGTTGATGATGATGACGGTGACGAGGATGTTGATGCAGATGATGCTGATGATGATGCTGATGATGATAATGATGCTATTGCTGCTGCTGATTACGATGAGAATGCTGATGTTGATGCTGATGCTGCTGCTGATTATGATGATGATGGTGACGATGATGATGACAGTTGATGGCAGATTGTGATGATGGTGATGATGTTACTGATGATGCAACTCATGATGATGCTGATTCTGATGATTATGATTATCTTAATGATTCTTCTGTTGATGATGCTGCAGCTGCTGATGATGATGATGCTGCTGCTACTGCTGCTGCTGATGAGGAGGATGACGATTTTTCTGATGCTGATACTGCTGATGTTGACGGTGATGTTGTTGTTGTTGTTGTTGTTGTTGTTGTTGTTGTTGTTGTTGTTGTTGTTAAACATTATTACTTCTAAAGAATAATTATTGTTGGGACCCCTGGTGCATGGCCCCCCCGCCGCGCCTAGGCCGCAGCCACATTTTCATCATTTTCGTGAGGAAGTCTCAGGCAAAACGGGTTGGTCCGGATCCGGTTGTGTTGTTACGATCGGTTTTCCCTTGCAAAAAATAAGCTAAAGTGGACATTTCTTGTTCTAACATAACCAAACTTCAAGAATCCCTTGCAAAAAATAAGGTAAAGTGGACATTCGCGCGCGCAAGACGAAATCCTTCCAAAACCTTAGTTTTCGTAGCGATTTTAACATAAAAACATCAAAAAACCAATGGTTTTTCAAAAAAAAATTGTCAAATTTCATCCCGCGCGCTCTTGCGGATTCGTAGGAAACCCAACACTTTTTAAACATTTCTGTCAAACGGGCTTTTGCGAGCAACTTTTTCGAACTTCTGCAACAACGGTTGCGCACCTGCCAGGGCCATCATCCCTGTCAAATAATACCATGCGGGACACATTCGTTTTTTCTTCGCGCGCGCACGCCGTCGTCGTCGGCCGCGGGGCCCTGAATAGTAGCCACGGTCGTCCGCATGCCACGAAGTGAAGTGTCCGAACGTCATAGGGCGGGAAGCTGGGTGTGGGTGGTGGCGAAGAGTCGTTTGGAAATTTGGTAGAGCTTGAACCGGCCCCCCCACAAAGTGGGGGTATTGCCCGCCTCCTATGAAAACCCTGGCACTGGTGAGAACGGAGTGTCCCCACGTGCTAGTAATTGTTGTTGTTGTTGTTGTTGTTGTTGTTGTTGTTGTTGAACATTATTTATTCTAAAGAATAATTATTGTTGGGCCCCCTGGTGCGCGCCCCCCCTGCGCCGCCTAGGCCGCAGCTACATTTTCATCATTTTCGTGAGGAAGCCTCAGAAAAGAGGGTGTGTACAGGATCCGGTTGTTTTGTTGTAATCCGCTTTCCCTTGCAAAAAACAATAGAAAATGACATTTCTTGTTCTAATATAATCAAATTTCAAGAATCCCTTGCAAAAAATAAGGTAAAGTGGACATTCGCGCGCGCAAGACGAAATCCTTCCAAAACCTTAGTGTTCGCAGCGATTTTAACATAAAAACATCAAAAAACCAATGGTTTTTCAACAAAAAATTGTCAAAATCTCATCCCGCGCGCTCTTGCGGATTCGTAGGAAACCCAACACTTTTTAAACATTTCTGTCAAACGGGCTTTTGCGAGCAACTTTTTCGAACTTCTGCGACAACGGTTGCGCACCTGCCAGGGCCATCATCCCTGTCAAATAATACCATGCGGGACACATTCGTTTTTTCTTCGCGCGCGCACGCCGTCGTCGTCGGCCGCGGGGCCCTGAATAGTAGCCACGGTCGTCCGCATGCCACGAAGTGAAGTGTCCGAACGTCATAGGGCGGGAAGCTGGGTGTGGGTGGTGGCGAAGAGTCGTTTGGAAATTTGGTAGAGCTTGAACCGGCCCCCCCACAAAGTGGGGGTATTGCCCGCCTCCTATGAAAACCCTGGCACTGGTGAGAACGGAGTGTCCCCACGTGCTAGTAATTGTTGTTGTTGTTGTTGTTGTTGTGGGTGGTGGTGGTGGTGGTGGTGGGTGGTGGTTAGGAGGAGGATGAGGAGGTTCTGGAAGAGGAACAGGAGGAGGAGGAGGAGGCAGAGAGGAGGAGGAGGAGGGGAGGAGGAGGAGGAAGAGGAGGAGGACGAGGACGAGGAGAAGGAGGAGGAGAAAGAGGCAGAGGAGGAGGAGGAGGAGGAGGAGGAGGCGCAGGGGGGAAGAGCGATGGATGGGCGCCATGCAGGTACACCGACCTGTCATCGACCCCGGGTTTCTGCGATACCCTGCTAAAGCAGCTGGAAAGCAGCTCGGACACGCAACTCGTCGTTGCCCCTCTGTCGTTGTTGGCACGGGAGACGGCGGAGGAGGAGTGGTGAGGAGGTGGAGGCGGAGGAGGAAGAGGGGGAGGCGGAGGAGGAAGAGGACGAGACAGAGGAGACAGAGGCGGAGGCGGCGTCGGCGGGCGGGAGTGATGGAGGGGCAGGGAAGACGGGGAAGGGAAGCGGGAAGGGGAGAATGATGAGGATATGGAAAGGGAGGGGGTGGGGGAAAGGGCGGAGGATCATGATGACGAGGATGGAAGCGAAGCGAAGGAGGGGGAGTCGGATGAGGATCACTCTTTGCCTCTCTCTCGCTCTTTCTCTCCAGTGTCGGCTCGAGGGTTTCTGACCCAGAGCGCAGCCGCGACGCATAGTCCCCTGCGCAGATACCAGTATTCTCCGCGCACGTTGAGATTGGACACACCGCATCCCACGGTGTTGCTGATTCGTGCCATCTCCACATTTCCACACGCGCCGCAAGGGTCTGAGAGCCCGCGCTGTGTGCTTCACGTACCGCTGCCTCCCACGCTACCAGGCAAGGGCCGCCAAGCCTCCTGTCCAGAGAGCCGTCGCGCGCCAGAAGGCCTGAATCGCTGCTCTCTCAAGTAGGGATGGCGCAGACCGGGCGACTGTGGTCTACGACGAGCCTGTCCACAAGCACCCAGCCGACCTAAAAACCGTTTACCAACACCGCCGCTCCAATTTGCCTCGGTTCAGGAGCGTGCTGCTGAATATGCGCATGTCAATCAGAACCAGCTGCACCAAGCTGCATGTTTTCAAATGCGACGCGGGCACCAGACTTGACCCACCAGGGTTCGTGGCCCCGGCCGCTGCCCGCCTGGATGACGGCGTAGTCCCTCTCATCAGTCTCGATGCACCAAAGTGGGACGTCCCGATCGAGCCTCCGTTCACCAGGGCCGACCGCGGGATCTCACGCACCAGTAGCACGCCCCCAACACCCCGCCGAGGCCAACACACTGCCTGACGATCCTCCGCATGGCGTGTCCGCGCCCGGCTCGGCACACCCCCTCACGCTGTTGCGTGGCCCCAGGGAGAACTCGAGCGAAGGCCCCAGCAGCAGGGCTCGCACGGTGCCCGCGCCCGATTCGGCACGCCCCTCACACGCTTCGTGGTCGCACAGGGGCCTCGACCGACAGCCCCAGCAGCAGGGTCTGCATGGCGTGCCCGCGCCCGATTCGGCGCACCCCTCCCACACGTTCCGTGGCTCCACTGGGAGTTCCGCACGGCGTACCCGCACCCGCTTCGGCGCAATCCTCAAGCGCTTCGTGGCCCCATTGGGAGCTCCACCGAAGGCCCCAACGGCAACGTCCGCATGGCGTAACCGCACGCGATTCGGCAAACGCCTGACACGCTTCGTGGCCCCATAAAACATGGTTTTCCACCGAAGGGCCCGGCGGCAGGGTCCTCCTGGCGTACCCGCATCCGAGTTGGCACATCCGTCACACGTTTCGTGGCCCCACGGCGAGGCCCACCGAAGGTCCGGGCGGCAGGGTCCGCATGGAGTACCCGCACCCGTGTCGGCGCACCCCTCACACGTTTCGTGGCCCCCTCATCCTATGGTGCTGGGTCTTTGTTTTGGATAGGCAGCGCCCCGCGTCTTTCTTCCTCGTTCCTCCTCCTCCCGCTCTCCCCTCCCATCCCTGCCTCTGCCTTCCGCATTTCTCTGTTGCGGCACACCTCTCACATGTTCCGTGGTTCCATAGTTCCACCGACGGCCCCAGTGGCAGTGTCCGCATTGCGTGCCCGCGCCCGCTTCGGCGCACCCCTCACACGTTTCGTGGCTCCAGGATCTCAACCGACGGCCCCCAGCGGCAAGGTCCGCATGGCGCACCCGCGCCTGATTCGGCACACCCGTAACATTTCTCGTGGGCCCACGGGGAACCCCACCGAAGGCCCCAGCGGCAGGGTCCGCATGGCGTGCCCGCACCAGATTCGGCACACCTTCAAGCGTTTCGTGGCCCCATATGGGGGATCCACCAACGGCCCCATTGGCAGGGTCCGCATTGCGTACTCGCGCCCGACTCGGCACACGCGTCACACGCTTCGTGGCTTAATATGGAGCTCCACCGAAGGCCCCAGAGGCAACGTCCGCATGGCGTATCCGCACCCGATCCGGAACTTCTTCACACGCGTCGTGGCCCAATCGGGAGCTCCACCGACGGCCCCAGCAGCAGGGTCCGCATGGCGTGCCCGCGCCCGCTTCGGTGCACCCCTCCCACGTTTCGTGGCGCCACACGGAATTCCACCGAGGGCCCGAGCAGCACTGTCCGCATGGCGCACCCGCGCCTGATTCGGCACACCCGTCACACGTTTCGTGGCCCCATGAGGGGTTCCACCCAAGGCCCCAGCGGCAGGGTCCGTATGGCGTGCCCGCATCCGATTCGGTACTCCCTTCACACGCGTCGTGGCCGTATAGGGAGCTCCACCGACGGCCCTAACAGCAGGGTTCGCATGGCATACCCGCACCCGACTCGGTACACCCCTCACCCGTTTCGTGGTGTCACAGGGAGCTGCGCCGAAGGCCTGGCAACGTCTGCATGTCGTACCCGCTCCCGATTCGGCACGCCCCCCCACTCGTATTGTGGCACCATACGGAGCTCAACCGAATGCAGGTCCCCGCATGGCGTACCCGCATCCGATTCAGTACACCCCTCACACGTTTCGTGGCCCCAAGGGGAGCTTCACCGAGAGCCCCAGCGGCAGGGTCCGCATTGCGTACCCGCATCCGATTCGGTACACCCCTAACAAGCTTCGTGGCCCCAAAGGGAGCTCTACCGAAGTCCCCAGCGGCAGGGTCCGCATGGTGTACCCGCACCCGAGCTCGGCACACCCTCACACGTTTAGTGGCCCCAGGCGGGAAGGAACGCAACGCACAACGGGAGTATTAGGGGGAGGGGCGAAACCAAATTGGAAGAACATGGGCACGACAATGGCTGCGCTCGGGGCTCGGGCCAAACAAGACATCCCCCGCGAACCCGCAGCCGCTGACCCCTTCCTAAACTTGTCTGAGTATTTGTGCTGGCCCCCTCCTCCAGTTCACCTGCCTCACGTTTCTCGCAGTTGCAGATGGTTGAGTCCTTCGCCAGGCTAGTATCTCTTTCTATGTGTGTGTTAATTGTGCGCTCTTTCTTTTCTCCCCAACCATCCTGTGGTGTTGGGTCCTCGTTTTGAAGAGACGGTCCCCGCGTTCACTCCTCCCGCTGCCCCCGCCCTCCTCCCATCCCTGCCTTTGCTCTCCGCATGTCCACCATTCGAGCATACCCCTCACACGGTTCGCGGCCCCACTGGGAGCTCACCGAAGGCCCCAGTAGCCGCGTCCGCATGCGTCCTCCCCGCCCACCGCATGCACATTTCGGCACACTCCTCACACGGTTCGTGGTCCCATAAGGGGTCTCCACCGAAGGCCCCAGTGGCCGCGTCCGCATGCGTCCTCCCCGTCCACCGCATGCACATTTCGGGTCTCCACCGAAGGCCCCAGTGGCCGCGTTCGCATGCGTCTTCCCCGCCCACCGCATGTCCATTTGGGCACAGCCCTCACACGGTTCGCGGCCCCACTGGGAGCTCCACCGAAGGCCCAGTGTCCGCGTCAGTATGCGTCCTCCCCGCCCACCGCATGCCCATTTCGGGGCACCTCTCACACGGTTCGTGGTTCCATAGGGGTCTCCACTGAAGGCTTCAGTGGCCGCGTCCGCATGTGTCCTCCCCGCCCACCGCATGCCCATGTCTGCATACCGCTCACACGGTTCGCGGCCCCACTGGGAGCTCCACCGAATGCCCCAGTGGCCGCGTCAGCATGTGTCCTCCCCGCCCACCGCATGCACATTTCGGGGCACCCCGGCACCCCTCACACGGTTCGTGGTCCCATAGGGGTCTCCACCGACGGCCTCAGTGGCCGCGTCCGCATGCGCCCTCCCCGCCCACCGCATGCCCATTTGGGCACAGCCCTCACACGGTTCGTGGCCCCATTGGGAGCTCCACCGAAGGCCCCAGTGGCCGCGTCCGCATGCGTCCTCCCCGTTCACCACATGCCTGTTTCGGGGCACCCCTCACACGGTTCGTGCCCCCATAGAGAGCTTCACCGAAGGCCCCAGTGCCACTGTCCACATGCGTCCCCCACTCACTTCGGCACACCGCTCCCACGTTTCGTGGCCCCATAGGGAGCTCCACCCAAGATGATATTCACAACTGCGTTACTCACAACTGCATATGGTTGGGTTCTTCGCCAGGCTAATTGTTTTCTTTCTCTCTCTCTCTCTTTCTCTCTCTCTCTCTCTCTCTTTTTTTCTCTCTCTCTCTCTCTCTTTCTCTCTCTCTCTCTCTCTTTGTCTTTCTTTTTCCATTCCCAACCATCCTGTGGTGCGGGGCTCTCGTTTTGCACAGGCAAGCACCCCGCGTCCTCCTCCTTTCTCCTCCTCCTCTTCCCCTCCCCCTCCCCCTCCCCTCCCTGCTGTTGCCCTCCGCAGGTCCTCATCACCATCAGCATCCTAGTACTCCTCAGCATCACCACCATCATCATCATCATCAACACCATCATCAACGCCATCATCCTCATAATTATCATCACCACCCTCATCACCATTCTCACCATCGCCATCATCAACAACAGCATCATCATCACCAGCGTTATGGCAGTCGTCGCCGCCATCACCATCAGCATCACCATGGTCATCAGCATTCTTACCATGCCCCTGATCATGATCGGCCCTGGGCCGCCACTCTTGCAGTCGGGGCCTTGAAGAAGGCACGCTTTTCGTTGGGGAGGGGCTCCGCGTTCCTTGAGTGTTTCGCAGAGTGCCTCAGGTTGTCCTTTATGTTTTCGATCGGAGATCGAAGTTTAACTTACGGAAAAAAGGGGCCTCGTTCTTTATTTTGGGTTCCTTAGGTCAAGGCCCCGACTGTATTTCGGTACACCTCTCGCGCATTCTGCGGACCCATCCAGAGTTCCGCCGAAGACCCCACCAGCAGAGCCCGCATGGCGTACCCGCACTCGCTGCGGCACACCCCTCGCGCGTGCCGTGGCGCAACAGGGAGCTGCGCCGAAGGCCTCATCGGTAAAGTCAGCATGCCGTACCCGCACCCCATTCGACACGCCCCTCACACGTGCCGTGGCGCCAGAGGGAGTTGCGCCGAAGGCCTCAGTGGCAAAGTCCGCCGGGCGTACCCACACCCGATGCGGTACACCGTTCATGTTTCCGTGGCGCCACATGGAGCTGCGAAGACAGCTTCAGTGGCAACGTCCGCATGGCGTACCTGGACCCGATTCGGTACACTTCTCATACGTTTCGTGGCTCCATAGGGAGCCCCACCGAAGGCCCCAGCGGCAGGGTCCGCATGTCGCAAGCACCTTCACACGTTTCGTGGCCCCATAGGGAGTTTCACCGAAGGCCCCAGCGGCAAAGTCCACATGGCGTGCCCCCAGTTCGGCACACCCTCACACGGGCGCCACAGGGAGCTGCGCCGAAGGCACCAGTGGCAACGTTCGCATGGTTTACCCGCTCCCGATTCGGCACACCCTCGAACGTTTTGTGGCCTCATCGGGATCTCTACAGTCGGGGCGCTGAGGAAGGAACCCTTTCCGTTGGGGAGGGGCTCGGTGTTCCTTAGTTGTTTTGCAGTTCGCCTTTGGTTTTGCTCAGGGTTCCGATGGGAAATCGAAGTTTAGCTTATGGGAAAAAAGGGGCCTCGTTCCTTATTTAGGGTTCCTTAGGTCAACGCCCCGACTGTACTGAAAGACTCCATCGGTAGGGGCGGAACTGCGTTCCCGCGCCTTTAACGCGCGTGTCGTGCGTTCAATAGGGACCTTGCGCCGACGGGCCCGGCGGCGAGGTCCGCACGGCGTGGCCGCACCCGATGCGGCACACCCCTCGCGCGCTTCGTGGCCCCAGGAGGGCGCTACACCCAAGGCCCTGGCGGCAGAGCTTGTGTTGCGCTCTTGCACCCGATTCGGCCCACCCCTCACGTGTCGCGTGGCCTCATGAGTCACCACCCGCCAAGCCACCCCAACCCAACCCCAAGGCCCAAATTTATGCTCGATTTCCAGTGGGGGGGGGTCGGGGAACATTGAAAAAACACCTGGAATCCGTACCCCCCCCAACCCGAAATTCGGGTCAATTTGTGCTCTTCGGGTTGGGTTGGGGTGGTCTGGTAGGTAGTCAAGAAGGGGGTTCCACCGAAGGTCACAGCGGCAGGTTCCGCAAAGCGTACCCGCTCCCTGTTCGGTGCGACCCTCGCACGCTTCGTGGCCCCACGGGGAGCTCCACCGAAGGGCCCAGCGGCAAGATCCGCATGGCGTGCGCGCACTCGATTCGGCGCACCCCTAACTCGCGACGTGGCCCCATAGGGAGCTCCACCGAAGACCCCAACGGCAGGGTCCGCATGGCGTCCGCATGCCAGATCTTGCATACCTCTCACACGTTTCGTGACGCCATAAGGAGCTCCACCGAAGGCCCCAGCGACAAAGCCGGCATGGCGCACCCGCGCCCCATTCGTCGCCCCCTTACACGTTTTGTGGCCCTATATGGAGCGCCTCTTCCTTCGTCCCACCTGCCTTGTGGTACCTCAACCTGACATGGTTTGGGCCCTCGCGAGAATTTTGATTTCTCTGTCTCAGTCTGTGTCGTCGCTGTCGTCTGTCTGTCTGTCTGTCTGTCTGTCTGCCTGCCTGCCTGCCTGCCTGACTGCCCTGTAGTGCCCTGTGCCTGTCTCTCTGTTTGCCTGTCTGGCTGCCTTTCTGTCAGTCTGTCTCTCTCTCTCTCTCTCGCTTTCTTGCTCTCTCGCCCTCCTCTCCCTCTCACACACATGCTCCCCTCTCTCTCTCTCTTTGTTCTCTCTCTCTCTCTCTCTCCCTCCCTCCTCTTCCTCTCTCTCTCTCTCTGTCTTTCTCTTTCCCTTCCTCCTTTTTACTCCTCTCTTTCCTCTCTCTCTTCCTCCCCCTCCCTTCTCTCTTCCTTACCCCTCTCCTCCTGCCCCCAGCCGGGCCTGCCTCAGGCACGCGCGCCCGCCCTCCTGCCCTCTGCCCGCCCCCTCCCCCCGCCGTGCTTCCAGGACGAGATCCGCCTCGCCGCCGCGTTGGCGCTGGGCTTCGCGACGGTCCCGCGGGGCGGGCGGGGAAGGCGGGCCGCCGTCGGTCTCAAACAGGGGAGGAGGAATGTGGAGGGAGGCTGAGTGAGAATCAAGGGGGAGGCAGGGGGATAGGGGGAGGCTCGGAGGGGGAAGGAGGGGGGGCGGAGGAGGCTTGAGGGGCAAGGATGGGGGAGGGGTCGGAGAAGGAGGGGGGAGGGAGGGGGAGGGAGGGTGGGGGAGGGTGGGGGAGTGGAGGGAGGGTCAGGGAGGAGAAGGAGGAGGAGGAGGAGGAGGAGGAGGAGGAGGAGGAGGAGGAGGAGGAGGAGGAGGAGGAGGAGGAGGAGGACCAGTGGAAACCCAAGAATCATCAACGCTGTTGGAATAAACCCTCCCTCCAAGCTCCCTCTTCATAGGCCCCTACAACGGTTCATTTCCATCGAGGGAACTGCCTCGTTGGAAGACAACGCTTTGAATATCCTGGAGCGTACCAACACATTGTTCTCGGGATTTCAACGCCACGTGTCAACCTGATTGTTGCGTCTTGACGACCCAGAATCGTGCTAGAACGCCATCTTTGGGACTTCAACACAGCGAATCAACATAACTGTTGCGCCTGCGTAATCCTGAATCTTTCCACAACACTATTTCTGGTACGTTGATCATGGGAATCCGGGGAACCCTTGCACAATTTTTGAAACGAATGTGCGCGGCGCTGAGACGATGACAACATTTTGAAAAAGGATCCGCCCTCAATCCGTGAAATTCTTTCATATGTTTACAACGAATGTGCGCGACGCTGAGGCGAGAGCCACAATTTGAAAACGACCCGCCTTCAATCCGCGAAACCCTTGCATTTTTGTTAAAAACCGATGTGCGCAGCGCTAAGGGGAGAGCCACATTTTGAAAGCGACCCGCCTTCAATCCGTGAAACGATGCATTTTTTTAACGCGAATGTGAGCGGCAAGAAGGCAGGAACAACATTTTGAAAACCACTCGCCCTCAATCCGTGACATCCTGGCAGATCTTTAAAGCGAATGTGCGCGGCGCTAAGGCGAGAGCCACATTTTGAAAACGACCCGCCTTCAATCCGTGAAACTCTTGCATTTTTTGCAGCGAATGTGCGCGGCGCGAAGGCGATAACCACATTTTGGAAACGACCCGCCCTCCATCTGTGAAGCGGTTGTCACTGCTTCAGAGTCATTAGTTGAGGAAGTCTCAGGCGAAACGCCTGGCCCGCCCTAAAAGCTGGCCTCGGGGTGTGACAGGGATGAATTATTGAATCGCTTCGCTCATTCCGCCGGCCCATAGTGTAGCGTCGCTGGCACTTGCTTGCGTGCTCGGGGGGGCATTTGGGTGGCCTCCTGGGGCCGCTTGGGGGCCTCTTGGGGGCCTCCTGAGGGCCTGTTGGGGGCCTCTTGGGGCCTCTTAGGGGCCTCTTGGGGCCTCCTGGGGACTTCTGAGGGCCGAGGGCTCGAAATATTGTTTCGTGTTCCCCCCCTGGGGTCCCTCTTGGGGCGTTCTTGGGGCCCTCTTGGGCCGTCTTGGAGGCCTCTTGGGCCGTCTTGGAGCCCTCTTGGGCCGTCTTGGGGCCCTCTTGGGGGCCTCTTGGGCCCTCTTGGGGCGGTCTTGGGGGCCTCTTGGGCCGTCTTGGGGTGTCGTGAAGCCGAAAAGGTGGAAACGCCAAAATCTCTCCAAAACCTAAGGAAAAGCAGTGAATTTTGCCTCTTGGGGCCCTCTCGGGAGTGCTCTTGGAGGCCTCTTGGGGCGTCTGGGGGCCATCGTGGGCGTCTTGGAGCGATCTTGTGGCATCTCGGACCCCTCATGTAGCATCTTGGGGGCCTCTTGGAAGCCTCTTGGCCCTTCTTGGGGCTCTCGGGGACGTCTCGGAGCCGCGTTGGTGCGCTGCTGGAGCGCCCTGGTGACTCCTCCCGGGACTCTCTCGGGACCTTGCCGGGGTACTTTCCGCCCGGGGGCCCCCAGGGGCCGCCCCGCGCGCGCGAAGTAGAAAGATTGTAAAGCAGTCACCGGAGATCTTAGCACGCCTCTGGCCCGTTGGGCCGGCGAATATTATCTATAAGGAGGAATGGAGTTGGATGGGGGAGGAGGAGGAGGAGGAGGAGGAGGAGGAGGAGGAGGAGGAGGAGGAGGAGGAGGAGGAGGAGGAGGAGGAGGAGGAGGAGGAGAGGAGGAGGAGGAGGAGGAGGAGGAGGAGGAGGATGGAGGAGGAGGAGGAGGATGTGAGGGAGGAGGAGGAGGAGGAGGAGGAGGAGGAGGAGGAGAGGAGGAGGAGGAGGCGGCGGAGGAGGAGGGGTGGGAGGGGGGTGGGAGGATGAGAAGGAGGAGGAGGAGGAGGAGGAGGAGGAGGAGGAGGAGGGGAGCAGGAGGAGGATGTGGAGGAGGGAGGAGGAGGAGGAGGCGGAGGAGGAGGGGGAAGAGCAGGAGGAGGAGCAGCAGGAGGAGGAGGAGGAGGGATGAAGGAAAGAGGCCGGAAGAGGAGGAGGAGGCAGGGGGAAGGGGGAAGGACACGGAAAGAGCAGGAGGATGAGCTGGAGGAGACCCGTGCGTGGCGGACCGCCGCGCGGCGCCGTGACCGCTCGGCGCACCGTCGGGCGGGAGCGGCCGGGCTGGGCCGACCGCCGCGGCGGCGCGGATTCGTCCGATGCTCTTTCAGCCTTTCGGCCTCCTTCGCTCCCTGGGTGTCTTTGCCTGTCCCTTGGCTTCCCTTGCTTTGCGGGGGCATGTGCCTGCGAGCGGCCGCCCAGTGGGACGTCTTGGCCGTCTTGGAGGCCATACTGGGTCCATCGCTGGCTATCTTGACCGGCTCGCTCGGAGGTTACGTTAGGCGTCTCGATGGTCATTTGTGGCCACCTTCGCCGTCTTGGAGGCCCCCTTGAAGCCATCTTTGGCGGATAAGCCTGCGGGATGTGGATAGCCTTGGTGGTCGTGTGAATGCAACGAGACCATAGGGAACTTAATGGAACTGCCCAAACGAGCCCGAAAGTCTTGCATGCCAAGCATCTGTTTGCAAGCGAAATGGTGCGGCGGACTTTTTGGCGTTCGGGCCATCCAGCCACCGCGTCTAGGTTGTGTGCCGAGTGCCGCGGTGAGAAGTACCCGAGCGAGCGACGCCATCTCAACCATGTTCCCTCACGGCCCCCCCAGGAAGGATTCAAGAGCGCGGTTGGCTACTACGCTCCCCGTGGAGGGAGGAGTGGGGATGGGCAGAAGTGGGATAGTGATCAGTAAGAGAAGGATGAGCAGCGTGATGTGGACGAATGACAACAGAACCATGACGAGCCTGAGGATGCAGGTGGAGGCGGAGAATCAGGAAGAGCAGTAGGATGATCATGGGAAACGTGAGGAAGGGTCGGATGATGTGGAGGAGTTGAGCAAGAGGAGGAGGAGGAGGAGGAGGAGGAGGAGGAGGAGGAGGGGAGGAGGAGGAGGAGGAGGGAGGAGGAGGAGAGGAGGAGGAGGAGGAGGAGGAGGAGGAGGAGGAGGAGGAGGAGAGGAGGAGGAGGAGGAGGAGGAGGAGGAGGAGGAGGAGGAGGGAGGAGGAGGAGGAGGAGGAGGAGGAGGAGGAGGAGGAGGAGGAGGAGGAGGAGGAGGAGGAGGAGGAGGAGGATGACGCGGAGGAGGAGGGGGAGGTGTCGTGGGGGGGGGGGCTGAAAGATGTGGAGCGTTGCAAGGCCAAGCCCACCCGACCCTCGCCTGAGATCCCCCAGTTGGAATTTGTTCCTGACCCCAACGGGCATAAGTCCTGCAGGGATGGCAAAGCGTTCGTTTGTGAGATCTGCGGGGATCCCTGGCTGCGTTACCTGCCCAGGGATCCCCAAGTTAGCGGCGACAGCTCACCCCTCCCACGTGCTCTGGATCGGTTTGGGGCCCTCGGGGAGGGTTGTTGGGTGTCGACAATGCGCTGCTTTTGGGGTTTCCCGGTTTCTGTACCTGAAGGAACGGTGCGAAAAAAACACCCAAGGAACGAGGGGGCGACCAAGTCTCTCGCCATGCTGCTTGCAGGCAAGGACCCCTCTTCCAGGGCAGCCTTCGGCCGCAGCATCCTCCTCCGAGGATGGAGGGACGTCACGGGCAGCATCTAGTTGTGTTCTCTTCCTTTTGTTGTCTCTCTTGCACCGCGGGGGAGTGAGCGTAGTCTGAACGGTCTGAAAGGAGGAGGAGGAGGAGGAGGAGGAGGAGGAGGAGGAGGAGGAGGAGGAGGAGGAGGAGGAGGAGGGAGAGGAGGAGGAGGAGGAGGGAGAGGAGGAGGAGGAGGAGGGAGGAGGAGGAGGAGGAGGAGGAGGAGGAGGAGGAGGAGGAGGAGGAGGAGGAGGAGAGAGGAGGGAGGAGGAGGAGGAGGAGGAGGAGAGGAGAGGAGGAGGAGGAGGAGGAGGAGGAGGAGGAGGAGGAGGAGGAGGAGGAGGAGGAGGAGAGGAGGAGGAGGAGGAGGGGAGGAGGAGGAGGAGAGGAGGGGGAAGATGAGGAGCAGAAGGGGAGGGAGGAGGAGGAGAGGAGGAGGAGGAGGAGGAGGAGAGGAGGAGGGAGGAGGAGGAGGAGGAGGAGGAGGAGGGAGGAGGCGGAGGGGGAAGGAGGAGGAGGAGGAGGAGAGGAGGAGAAGGAGGCGGAGGAGGAGGAGGAGGAGGAGGAGGAGGAGGAGAGGAGGAGGAGGAGGAGGAGGAGGTGGAGGAGGAGGAGGAGGAGGAGGCGGAGGCAGGAGGAGGAGGAGGAGGCAGAGGAGGAGGAGGAAAAGGAAGAGGAGGAGGAGGTTGAGGTTGAGGGCGCTCCGAGGACGCGCGAGTCGAGGGCGCGCGACTCGGTTGCGGCTCCGAAGCCGCGGGGGCCGCGGCCGAGGTGGCGGGATGCCAGCGGCCACAGGGCAGCACAGCAGCCTGCTCCGCCTCGGGCCAACTGGCCACGTCCTCGGCCCGCAGCCGCTTGGCCCGAGGAGTGCTCTCGACTCAGGCCTCGATCACGTCCAGGTCGGGGCTGGGGCGCTTGCCGCGGGCTGCCTCGAGCAGCCAGCGGACCTT